TTTCTTTTATATATTTTTTATTGTACCAGAATGTACTGTTATACTTGTTTTGATTAGCAAAGACATTTATTAAAAGTTTTGAGCATTAGAGTTGTTTAAATTAGTATGGTCCAGTTAGTTGTTGATATTGTGTTGAGTATCAACTAGTTCTGAAATTAGATTACACACTCAAAAATTTCTTGTTTAAAATTCCACAATTTGAGTTAGCCTTGATTCCAATCATCTGAATATAAAAATGCATTTAGAAGTTATCAAACATCTTTTACCGAGTCATGCAAAACATGTTTGGATGAATTGGAGGAATTAGTAGATGGATTACATGTAAAAAAACAACCAAGTCTTATCCCACTATGGGATGTCTGTTACATATAACTTTTGCCATTATTTTCTCTCTCGTAGAAATTGTAACGAGACAGGTAAATTTCAAGAAATGTCTCTTTATTACAAGTTAGAAACTTTACAATAAACAACTTGTGTTCCAGTTTAAAATTTGTTACTAGTAAAACATCCTTGCAACTACAATGAACAACTTGTGTTCTAGTTTAAAATTTGTTACTAGTAAAACATCCTTGCAATTGCATGGTTTGTCTATTGACACATCAATAAATATTTTCAAAAATGGGTCTGATAAAACTATGGTGAACAAAGTCTTGCAAGCAGAATTATTAGAATGGAACATGATTTTGTGGGCAACAATAATATAAACCTTTTCAAATCGAATGGTCAATTTTTTAGTTATTAGCATTATCAACTTCTCTATTTGTTAAAACCCTTAATTCAACTGATTCAAATATGACATTAACAGGGTTCTCTTTTAGATCTTAAACTCTACTTCGAATTCACTTATTTTTAGCTTATATGAAGATATTAAAATTTGTTAGACTATTTAAGAGAACATATATAATGATATAAGTATTTATTAGTATAGTGACTTATCTGTAAGCTGTTTTCAGAAGATACTATGCAAAAGAATTTGGGACTTCCTTATCAAATTTGCGTTGTCATGATGTTAGGCTCATTGAATTGAAAGTATTTTGATATTCTTGAAAGTTGGAACTAGTTTTGCTTTCTTTTTAAAAGGGGTGGCGGGATTAAACTACATGGAAAAGATAATTTTCAAGACCGGCTTGATTCTAGTGAGCCTCTACCTAGCAAGTTTTTACAGGTTACTTATCACTTTTCCTCTCATGATCAAATCTCATTTGTTCTTTATTTTCATTTATCGTTTACTTTTCAAAATGAGATAGTTCTCCCACTTACTGTTGTGAACAATGCTCTTTTGTTTAGTAATTTCAAAGTGTGCTTATATACTCATAATACTATGTTATCTTATGCATGCAGTTCATTCAGAACAAAGGCATCCTTTTAAATTTCACTTCCAATAATCATATTGTTGTCCTAAAAAAGTTGTATATTTAGGCCTGGGACATATAGAAGAAACAATTGTCTGACGTATATGTTGCTAAAGACGAAATCACTAGTTTTGTAATCATTCAACATAGCCTATATATGTCAGTAATATCTTTAATTTTGAACAATTTAAAAAGAAAGTAGTTTTTGAAAGACCTCCTAACGATATGAATATGTGTTGATAGGTATGCTGGACATTTTAATGGTAATATCAGTTTTGAAGCTTGACCACGATCCATGGTATGTGAATTACTTTTATCCTCCCAATGGTGAGAGTGTCATACATCTTTTACTCTTTAGAATCACTTTTAGATGTGAAAAAAAAGTATTTGTGATTATACATTATGTTTATATTTAATATGATCAGTACCTTATCATTTTGACTTTCATTATAATCATTGTTTAGGGAAATCTGAAGTGTTTGATAATACTATTGTGATGCATGTACTGCCTCAACCAACAATTAAGACTAAGAGATGATCTCTATTAAAACGACTATTGTGATGCATGTACTGCCTCAAGTAGAAGGTTACATTGACACTTAAATAGGTTAAAGTCTAATAAATTAAGTTTAAAGCATGTTGAATTAAGTTCACTTATAAAATGTTAATTTTTTGGGTGTGGGGATATTTTGGGGTGTAATAAAAATAATCCTTCTCTTTTTGTTATAATATCAACTTATTCATAAGTGTTTATATGATAAGTTGTTTATCTAATGATATAATATTTATGCTTTAAGTGTTTAGTTAATTAGTATTTATTGTGTTTTAAGTGATTGAATTTCTTTAACCAGATAATTTTGCATATCTTTTTTCTTGTCTCAGACAACATTCTATGTACTTGTAAGGTCCCTCATAGTAAAATATTTGTTTCAGATTTTCATCTATATAAGTTACCTCAAACATAACTTTCTTTATCCTAATAAGTCATTACATAAATATATTATGAACAAATGTGTTTAAATCTTATTTTATGATTTGTCAATGTTGGTACTTAAACAATATGGATATGGTTGCTATTAATTACTTTTAATATTAATTAAAAATTTATTTATAATTGAGTAAAAAACCTGCAGGATTTGAAACAATTTTTTTTTCAGATACCACTTTTACCTGTCAAGTGTTGTAGCTAAAAAAATAACTTTTCTAAGAGAAATAATGACAGACAACTAGAACTATAGGTAAAAGTATATGTCTGTCGGTAAAGTATTAACCGACACACAAAAATCCGTTGATATCGCATAGTAAAGTGCACGGACAACATGGTTGTCGGTGATTTACAATTCGGCTTTTACCGACGACAGAATGACATATAGTGACGGATTTTATCCGTCGATACAGGGAAATTTTCTTGTAGTGAAAGAAAAATGGAACACCCTATACACACAAAAAATGAAAGAAAGTGTATGAATAACATGGAAGAAAGCTTATGAAGAAGAAAGATAAAGCATATGAACTTTATTACCTTTAAGTACACTACAAAAAAAAACTCTCATTTGCGACGTGAAATTCACGTCACAATGTAAAAAACCATGTCACAACAATTAATTTGCGACGTGAACAATCACGTGGCTGGGGAGTGGATGGAAAATTTATTGTGGCGTGATTTTCATGTCACAAAGTTGTGACGTGAAAATCTCGTCGTAACTTGCTTGCACATAAATCCTAAAATTACAGTGGAAGCAGACGTAGCAGACGCAGAAGTCAGAGCAACACTTATTTGCCACGTGATTTTTACGTCACAAATTAGTGACATAAAAATCATGTCACTAGTTAATTACATTTAACACCCCAACGTTCTATTCAGCTTTTATTTTTTATAAATAAATAAAAAATTAAGTTGCGACGTGATTTTCACGTCACTAATTTGTGACGTGAAAATCACGTCACTAATTAATTACATCTAACACTACAACGTTCTATTCAGCTTTTATTTTTTTATTAAAAAAAATTGAGTTGCGACGTGATTTACATGTCACAATTTTCTGACATTTGTGACATGTAAATCACGTCACTAATGTTTTTTCTTAAATTTAATTACTGAAATTTGTTTTTCTTTTATAATTAATTAAATTAATATAATTTTAATTAATAAATTCAATGTATAATAAACTAAATTAATAAATTCAATATATAATAATTTTAATATATTAAATTTAATATAATAAATTAAAACTATAAATTTAAGATTTCTTAATTTAATATACTAAATAGGTTTAATTAATTAGTATGTTACACAAATTCAAATTTGAAAGCAAAGTAAAAAAAATTAATTATATGGGTCATCTTGGTTGATATAGTTGTCAATTTCAAATTTATCTTCGTTTCCGTCATCCTCCGACTCTTGACCACTAACGTTTTGATTTCCACTAAACCCTTGCATAAATTGTCTGATCTACTGCTCCATATCAGCTTGCCTCTTTGCCATGACCTTCATTTGTCGTTGTTTCTCTTGCCTCCATTTGGGCCTTCATTGTCGCCTCATGTTGCGCTGACTCGCATCTCGTTTCATTTAATGTCAATTATCTTATTGTTCAAGTTGTTCTGGTGTCAAATTTGGTTGACGTGACCCTCCTTTCTTATCTTTATCGTTGCATGTGGAAGAGAGAGATGTTAAGATTTTTTTTTAGAGTGACGAATATATATATATATATATATATATATATATATATATATATATATATATATATATATATATATATATATATATATATATATATATATATATATATATATATATATATATATATATATATATATATATATATATATATATATATATATATATATATATAACTTATCAGTGTCTGTCAATAAAAACCGTGATAAAACATAAGTACGATTCATAATGATTTATAGTAATAAGTGTGATAAAAACAAATATTTTAATTTTAATATATTATAAGAGTATAAGGACAAACTCCTTTTTGTAATTAATAAAAAATAAAAAATTATTGGTGTTGAAAATCAAAATAAATAACTTTTTATAAATCACAACGGTTGTTATTATGGATAGTAAGGAAATGTCTTTTAATAAAATAATAAAAAATTTAAACACTTGAAAATAAGTTATTATTACAATCGTTTATAATTTAATAATATGATGTAACCAAAAACATAATTTATACTAATAAATATTATTTTAAACTTTGAAACAAACAGATGTGTGACAAACACAAGTTAATATATAAAAAAGTATATATTTTAAAAAAAAATAGTTTTGAAAAATAAGTAACAATTTTTAAACTTTTAAAAAGTATAATAAATACACAAGTATCTTTTATAACCCTTTTTATGAATTTGTTATCCTTTTTCTTTTTATAAAAATATAAGAAAATGCAGCTTTAAGTCTCACCCAACAACAACTACAGCTGTGTTCCAGAAATGTCCACGACCGCCGGACCCCATTCCTTATTACTAATTCTCTCTCTCTCTCTCTCTCTGAGTGAGTGAGGAGTAGCTTTTACTTTTACTTTTCTATTAAAACCAAAATAATCATTATCTTCATCATTGCAATATTTCCTTCTTATAACCAAAATCCATTCTTCTAAGGAATTCAATCAAACCTAGAGTATAACATATGAGATCAGAATGAGATCATTATATACATATATGGAAGTTCTGATATTTTGTGGGGAATGCTGCCTGGTCCAAGGACCTTCATTTAACACAAATACTTCAATTACTGATATATCATATAGTTTGAGTTTGTTACTATCTCTTTCTCGGACCAGGCTTCATTCCCCTCAATTACACCTTCCTTCTACAAATTACTTCAACTTCTTCATTGGTGGATCTCTTTATTAATCATCAACAGATTTGACTAACTCACATCACATGCCCTTGTCTTGTCTTCACTTCTCATCAACAGCTCAACAGCTAGATGAAAAAGGTAACCATCATTAGATTTTTTAGTTCTAACTAATTCTAGATTTACATCTATTTTTGGATCTCGTCCGTCATCATTGGATCTGAAATTCACATCATTATTTAATTAATCATGCATGAGCGATCATGTTTTCTGTATATTTATATTTATAAGATCTGCTAGGGTTTCATTGCCAACTCTTTAAACTCTAAGGTACGTAAATATATATATGCACATATATATGTTTGAGGTTTCATCTTCTATACAAATCAATTATTTATTTATATGGTATGGTATATATCGATTTTCAATTGTTATTGTTCTTCCATAAATTTGTTTAACGGTGTTGGTAGTAGATTTAACGGGTTCCTGATAACCTTCACATGTCTCAGCTTTCTATCACTTTCAGTAATTAATACATAATTTTGTTTTGAGTGGAATACATTCATTAATGGAGGAGGATAGGATAGTAGTTGGAGCATTTAATTCTGTAGAATTAGATTCTATTTTATTCCTATCTTTTCTTTTTTTCTTTCTTTATAAAAGAAAACATCTTTCTGCTTTCTTTTTTAAATCTTTCTTTTCAGTATTTCTTTTAATTCCTTCTTTATGAATTATTTATATATATATATATATATATTCCCTTGCTTCGTGATAAATAAATTCTATTTAAGTTACAGTCAACTTAACCAGATTAATTCTTAAGTTAATTACACAGTTAACCAGACTAATTCTTCCATGTGGCTTAAGGATGGTTTTTCATGCATTGTTTATATTTGTTCAAATCAAAAGAGCTTTCATGTGAAGAATGTGATTGAGATACTAGTCTAAGAATATGGTAGTTGAAAAAGAGTAAGTTGGATACCTAGATGAAACCAGCCTCGATCAAGATCAAACTTTATTAATAGTTCAACAAAATTCTTTCTATAGTTTATTAAATTACATTCATTGTGTGTAAATTAGTAAGTTATTACAAAATTAAATGCATATTGGTGTAACTTGTTAATTTAGACAAGTAAAAAATTAGTGGGTGGGTGGAAGCTAATTAACATTTGCAGTCCTATATTTTATTACAATTGGTACTGTGCTAGGTGGAAGACCGTGAATATTTGCAGGTGTCGCAGGCCAGATTCAATAATAGTTGGGTTATTACCATTTTGTCTCTGGCGATATAGATTATTTTTAGTTTATCTTCTGTATATTTTTTTTTAAAAGTATTTTTGCTATTTCAAAAAATTAATAAATTAATTTTTAAAATTAAAATTCGCAGGTAAATTTAAAAAAAAAATCTACAAAAAACCTGTATATTTATCTGTGGATTTGATTTTAATTATTAAAATGTTAGTATTTTATAATATCAAAATTACTTTTAGGTCTATACGGTGGGAGGCAAAAGTGATAATAAGTCATAGTTTGAAATAAAAAAGAACGTGAAATTGGCTAGCTAGACTATAACTTGCTCAATTTTGCAGAAGGAAGGTAATAAAATGCAATTTTGCTCCATGAGGTGTTATGGTTGGGTGGGCATCATGTGCCTTGTCCGCTTGTGTTTGCGAAAAACTCCTTATTCTATAAGGATTTTGTTTCTGCCAGGGCTGGCGAGAAAATTTAAGGTGGTTTAACGTTGTTCCATAATAAAGAAGACTTAGCTTAATCCCTAAAAGTTAAGGGTTGTTGGATCAAGGTCAAAATATCAACAAATAAAAGATAGATGTTTAAGAGAAGACTATTTTAGAACCTCGGAATATGCATAATCTTGTCCATGATTTTAAATTACGGATCACATCACGTGATGCAGACTCAATATTATAATTGCGATAGTGTCTGCATCCGCATCATGTTGTAATTGCAGTGTCATCATAATCATCTTAAAAACTGCATAATAATGTCAGAATGGCCGCAACGTACGTGACCCCACAATAAGATTATATATTGTTCGCAAAAATTATTTGGTCTATCTTCCTTTATATTTATGTCATAGATTTAAAATAATATTTTAAATGGATTAGAGATATTTAAAGTGATGAGTAATTATTAATGAGAAATATATGAAAATTTAGAGAGAAAATGAACGACATGTGAAACATAAAATAAATAATAAATCATAATATTTTATGTTTATTTTTTTTAAGGAATATATTGATAAGAGTACAAAGGATACTCAGTCCTGATTATAAAGAAACAAGTCAAAACTCGACAAAACAAAGAAATTATTTACCAATTGAAACCTAAGACAAATAAAACAAAAGATCTTTGTTAAATTTGTGAGATATTAGATCAAATTCTAATGGGTTGAAGAGTAGCTTCTGGTTCGACGGAATTTATGCATGTCGTTGAAGTAGGTTCACATGCTGGTGTCGAAGACCCACATACTGTAGTTGAAGTGTGTTCTAGTATGTGAGTGTCAAAATGCTAGGGCTGTTAGTATTTCGAATTGCGCCTATTTATTATGTCCAATTGTTTAAGTTAACTTGTACTTAAGTTAACTTGTAATGGTTATTTGTAAAAAATCTCATTAGTTTAGTATATTAGGTTTATTATAAATAGTATACTAGTCTCTCAATATTGCATACTGCAAATCCTAATTTAGAGTGAGAGGGTTATTTATTATTCTTGTAACACTTGTAATCTTGATTTAAGAGAAAGTAAAGAATAATAGTTATAAACAAATCCTTGTTGTTAATCTTGTTTATCATCTTTTCTACCCTTGAAGGTTTCCCTCTAATAGAGAAATCTATTATATTTTGTTTCTGAGGCATCCTTTTTCACAACAAATTGGTGCGATGAGCATGGATAAGACGCCTTCAACAAAGTATGAGATTAAAAAGTTCACTGGAGTGGACGATTTCGGTATGTGGTGCTTGAAGATGAAAGCCCTACTGGTTCAACAGGGTTGTTTGGAAGCGTTGAAAGGAGCGGCGGTTATGGATGTTGTGTTAACGGAAAAGGAAAAGATAGTCATGATAGAAAAAGCCCACAGTGCAATCTTGTTGAGCTTTTGTGATAAGGTTCTTCGACAGGTATCAAAAGAGATGACGACATCAGTGTTATGGGTGAAACTTGAAAGTTTGTACATGACCAAATCATTGGTAAACCGACTCTACCTGAAGCAAGCTTTGTATTTATTCAAGATGATTGAAGATAAAATGTTGGCTGAGCAGTTGGATATGTTCAACAAGTTGATTCTTGATCTTGAAAATATTGATGTGAAGATCGATGATGAAGATCAAGCGTTGTTGTTATTGCGCGCTTTTCCCAGAATACATGCTCACTTCAAAAAAACTCTCTTGTATGGTAGCGAGTCTCTGACCTTTGAAAAAGTTCAATCATCCTTGTATTCTAAGGACTTGAATGAACGAAAGGAGCATAAACCTTCGACGGTTGATGAAGGTTTGGCCGTTAAAGGAAAATTCTTGCGAAAGGATGGTAAGTTTGATAAGAAGAAGGGTAAAAGTCAGACGAAGTCTTATAGTGGCGAGGCATCTGGTATTTGATGATATCATTATAAGAAGGAAGGTCATACAAGAAAGTGTATCCTGAACACCTGAGAGATCATGGAGGAAAGGATAATGGCAACACAACTATTGTTCAAGATGATTTTGACTCATCTGATGTTCTTATGGTTTCGAGCAGCAACCCGTCGAAGTAGTGGATTATGGATTCTAGGTGTACTTGGCACATGACTCAAAACAAATACTTGTTAGAAGACTTACGTGACCAAGATCGCGGATCTGTATTGTTGGAAAACAAAAAAGATTACAAGATTGCAGGTGTTGGATCTGTGAGATTCAAGCTCCATGATGAGTCAATAAGGTTATTGACTAAAGTTGGGTATGTACCTGATTTAAAGAGAAATTTGATTTCTCTTGGTGAATTCGATAAGAAAGGATATATTTTCCAAGGAGAGAAAAGTATCCTAAGAGTCATGAAGGGTTCGAAGGAAGTCTTAAGAAGCGTGAAGAAACAAGGCTTGTATACTCTTGAGGCTGAAGTTGTAAGTTGTTCGACAAATATTGCATCCATGAAACCTTTGTCGAAGAGAGAAATTTGGCACATGAGATTGGTCCATGTCAGTGAAAGGGGTCTGTTCAAATTAGAGAAACAAAATTTGCTTAGTGGAGACAAAGTCGAAAAGCTGAAATTTTGTGAACCCTATGTATTTGGAAAATCTTATACAATGAAGTATAACAAAGGCAAACAAAGGACACATAGTATATGATATTCCGGAAAGTTATGGGTATTCATCCAAAAGACTAAGGATGAAACTTTTGAGAATTTCAAATGTTGGAAGACTCTGGTCGAAAATCAAACTGGCAGAAAGGTCAAGAGGTTGAGAACCGACAATGGCCTTTAATTTTGCAATGAAACTTTTGACGGTTTTTGTGCTACTTTTGGTATTGCAAGGCACAAAACTACTGCAGGTACTCCGTAACAAAATGGTTTGACTAAAAGGTTTAACTGAACTATTTTGGAGAGATTTAGATGCATATGGATTAGTGATGTGTTAAAGAAGGTATTTTGGGTTGAGGCTATTTCACAACAACATATCTGATAAACATATATCCTTCGAATGCGTTAGATATGAAGACACCTGAAGAAGTTTGGTCGGGACATCCACCAGATCTTGACAAACTGAGAATATTTGGCTGCATAGCCTATGCTCACATTAGGAAAGACAAGGTCGAACCTAAATCTTTGAAATGCATGTTCATGAGATACCGTGAAGGAGTCAAAGCTTATAGGCTATGGTTCCTAGAGCCAGGTCACAGGAGGATTATCACCAGTCGAGATGTAGTTTTCAATGAAGCTGAAATGGCTTTAAAGAAAACTGATGATGTTGATCGAAGTGCAGAAATATCTGACGAAGAGTTGGAACAGGGAGATATTCCTATTGAGGTAGAGCATGTTGATTTTGAATTGTGTATCCCAAATAAAGTCGAAGAAGAAGTAGAAGATGTTGAGGAAGTTGAGGAAATTATCGATTGCTACCTATTGGCAAGAGATAGGATGAGAAGAGTCATCAAGCCACCTCAGAGATTCAGGTATGCAGATCTGATAGCTTATGCCTTAATCTCTGCAAGTGAGGTTCTAGACGAAGAACCTGGAGACCATAAGGAAGTTATGAGGAGTCGAAATAAGACTGAATGGTTGAAGGCCTTGAATGATGAGATATATGCAGTTGATAAAGCTGCATGAAGAAAGCTAGTGGGTTCTCTAATAATAGAGTTTGTTCCAAGGTGGAGATTTATGAGATATTGGATCAAACTCTATTGGGTCGAAGAGTAGCTTCTGATTCAACATGATTTATATATCTCGTTGAAGTATGTTCACATGCTGGTGTCGAAGACCCACATACTATAGTCGAAGTGTGTTCTAGTATGTGGGTTTCAAAATGCTAGGGTTATTAGTATTTCAAATTGGGTTTGTTTGTTATGTCCAATTGATAAGTTAGCTTATACCCTAAGTTAGCTTGTAATTGGTATTTATGAAAAAGCAAATTAGTTAAGTATGGTAGGTTTATTATAAATAGCATACTAGTCTCTCACTATTGCGTACTACAAATCCTAATTTAGGGTGAGAGGGTTATTTGTTATTCTTGTAACACTTGTAATCTTGATTTAAGAGAAAGTAAAGAATAACAGTTATAACCAATCCTTGTTGTTAATCTTGTTTATCATCTTTTCTACCCTTGAAGGTTTCCCTCTGATAAGGGAACCTATTATATTTTGTTTCCAAGGCATCCTTTTTCATAACAAAATTCATACAAATTGCAATTGCAATGAGTAATATCTCCAATGAAAGACCACCTCCACGTTGTAATCTTCACTTGCCAAACAATATCTGGTACATTCCAACCGGTATTCCTAAAGATAATCCATTCCTAATAATCCAAAAGTTAACTAAATTCAAACTTCTCTATCGGGCTTAACCTTCTTAGATTTACATAAGGAAAACCATTCCAAAAAAAAGCCCCATAAAATTGTTACCACCATAGTTGGAAAAACCAATCCATTCTGAAATCTCTTTTCAAACCAAATTAGCCATTGAACATCTGAGCAAAGAATGACACAATGACTCTGAAACCAAAGAAAAAAACGAATAAAACATAATTCTAGAGGAAGGAATGATACCTCTAAAAAATAATAGATCCCTCGTCGGAAGTTTGTTCAAGAAACATCTCCATCCAAAAGCTTTGATTTTGAAGGGAACCTCCATTTTCCAAATCAACCTCAACGCTTTATCAACATTATTTTCCGGTCTAAAAGGGGTATGAACAACACTAGACTACTTGTAAAAAGAGCTAATTGAATCAACTGGATTAGCCCCCTGAAGCCACAACACCCAGACTTTCCCCTGAATATTCAGGTTGTTATTCTGAAGCAGATGTGGCATAGAAAACATAGCAGAAGCAACCACAGATCATGTGCATCAGGAAGAAGTCATAATCCCGAAGTCTCCCCATGACTACGCTCCACCGGTCCAACATCCCATACCTGCAACTGCCAAATCTTGTAAAAGAGAAGAAGAAAATAACACCGGATACATCGACTTCAAGCAAATGGCCCTTGTCCAATTCGCATGCCAAAAGGAAGTAGCGAAACCATTGCCTATATGAAACATGAAATTGTTAAGAAAAATGTCCTCGGAGTATTTCTTATCAAGCGAAATAATATCCATCCACCATGAAGATTTTGATCTCCCATTAAAATGAGAACTACCACTATAAGACATTTGTATTTTAATATCTCTATAATGTGCTTTCAAAATTACAAACCATAAATCCTCTAAACCTACAAGAATTTTCCATCTCCACTTGTGGAGGAGAGCCAAATTGAAATCTTCGATCCTTTTCAACCCTAACCCACCTTTTCATATGGTAAACAAAGAGAGTCCCAATTAACCCAATGAGTCCTCCTTTTTGCCTTCGTACTACTTATAGGAAAAATAGAAAGTGTATTATTTTTGTCTTGCAATAATAATGAGAAATTCCTTGAATGTTGATCTCAAGGACTGCATGCAATTATCAAATTCAGTCCATGTTCAATTAAACAAAAACTTTAACTGGGGTTTTGGTTTAGGATTTGTCACTCATCAGAAATAAAAATAAGAAGAATGTAAATTAGGGCTTTTTCACATATATGAGGAGTATGTTAGGGTATGGTGTATAATTTTCCCTATAGCAACCTTGAATCTTGATCTCTTCAGCAAGTTCATATCCTTTAATTAGTAGTCCTTTAGATTATCTTCCCCTAAATCCTTAGTGGGAAAACCTTTAACCATCTATCCTATATCCTAAGTCCTTAAGATATCTGATGGAGTCAAGCCTTTATTATATCAAGGGTTAAATCTGGTAACTATAGGATATCCCTAGTCCTGAGTGATATCTACTATAGCCTAATTATGCAAAAACCTTAACAACTGTGGTCCATCTGGTTGTTAACTGTAAATCAATCCAAATTTGTCCAACCAGGAAGGCATAAAAACATTGTACAATTAAATCTAATAGAGAAGACTTTATTAAAGAACTCAGGAATTCATAATCATTACAGATTCAAACCACGGACACACCCTAGGATTGGGGGATTTAGCTACTCATATTATTCAAAATAATCACAAGATAAAATATAGACATTACAAGGATTTGGATGAACTTTGATCTTCAATTGCTTCCGCACATGAAAATCTTCCTCTCTCTGAAAACCTTGACTTCTCCAATTTTCATTTGTGTAAAATATTATTCGATGCCATAAAAGTTTCTTTATTCCTTGTGAAAACTCATTTAAATAGTCATCATTCATCCAGGTCAATTGAAAGTGCCCAAAACACCCTCACAGCTTAATATATGGAAAAAGTATGAAAAAAATCAGGAAATCAGCGTCACATGCCGACAAGGGCCATGTCACCTAACACGGGCACCCATATCATTCTTTGTCCATCGCACCAACAACCCTCTCGCCCAGGCCTTCTGACACGGGCCGTGTCAGCTGACACGGGCACTCGTGTTATCTGACACGGGCACTCGTGTCAGCTGACACGAGCACCCGTGTCAGCCTCTACCTTTGCATCTCAAATCGCCTACTGAGCATCCTTTCCTAACACGCCAGGTGACACGGGTGGCTGTGTCAGGTATCCTGTTTTTCCTGGTTTTATTTCTGAGCCTGAAAACAACAAAATACACAACCAACATATAAAACATAGAATAATGAACTAAAACACTTGATAAAATAAAGAAACCATAACTAAAATCAAATGTAAATAAAGGTGGAAAAACCACTAATCAAACTCCCCCAAACTTAAACTGTTGCTTGACCTCAAGCGACCATTGCAAGAACTCATAAAAATCACAGCAGCCCAGTACTCATACGTGAGACATTCGTTTAAATTGATCAAAAATTAGTTCGTCTGATGTTCACATGATGCGAAGAGTTTGTTTAAGAATCTTTAAATCTAGAGTTTCCTCTTGATATTCCTCTCTATTTATGCTTTGTACTTAAGTCTCTTTCCGATTTTCCTCCTTTTTCATTCGGAGAGTCAAATTAAGGCAATGAGGATTATGATGATCATCACATGCACAAGACTAATTAAGAATTTTTTATTAGGCACCAAATAGCAGCATTGGCTACTTTTAATTACCGATGAAATTTTCAAACTTTGCAGTTATATATTATCCTTTTGGACGATGTTTGGGGATCAACCCCCTTTGGGCTGAATAATCGGATGAGGGCTACCCAACTTAGTTAGCCAGTTTCCTTTTACCTCCTTTTCATAATTTAGTGACAAATTTTTTTTTTTTCCTCCATCAATCATACATGCATGTGAATCTATGTTATGCTAGACTGTGAGGATAAACTACTTCGGGAGTACTTCTCAGGATTCAAGCATTATGGTACAATCTACACGTTAGACTCGTATCACTGTCATATTATTTCAAACTTCCTACCTCCCAACAACCATCCGTTTGTCTCTATATACTATTCCTGAACTCTATGAGAAATAAGTTCTTGAACAAAAAAAATTAGGCAAAATTTGGGAAGGACTTCAACTCGTGGATTTACACAACACTTAGCATAAAACCAACAAACAGGTTGAACAGAAAAGTAGTAAAAAGAAAAGCAATAAAACCTCCCCAAAATTGAACTAAACAATGACCCCAATGTTTCAGAACAAGCTTGAGAAAGGTGACTCACAGAGGGGAATGCAACACATGTTGTTGCCTCCTAGCTTTCACCAGTAAGACTCCCTTTTTATTACCTGCAGACAAAATTAAACAAAAACTAAGTTATTAAAAATGTGAGTTGTCTCCCACGAAGCACTCTATTTAACGTTGCATGGATCGACGGTTCATCCCCTTATAGAGGGTATTTCCTCTTCCTCACCTTTTTGCTTGTCTCTTCCGCAATCCAAAACTCATTCAAATAAAAAGTATCATCTTATTTGTGTTTCCAGACACTTCCAACTTCAATCTTCTCAGGTTAGTGTTCCTTCTTATTTCTCTTCTTTTCTTCTTGATTGAGCTTAGGAATTTTTATTGATGCCACCTGAGAGATTTTTCCTGAGACTTCTTCTAGGAGTGATTTTGAACTGTTTATTTTTCCTTCTACTTTGATAATTTAGACTGAAGATTTATTCTTTCTACCTGCACCTTGCTTCTGGTTCTCCAACACCTCAAAGTTATCTCCTTATCAAATGATTTCAGTGTCAGATTACTTGTCTCGATATCAAAATTGCATCGACTAGTCAGCATAAATGGCTGACCAAGAATGATAGGAGTCTCTTCATCTTCAGGGATGTCCATGATCTGAAAATCAACTGGGAAAACAAAATTGTAAATTTCTACTAATACATCTCCAGTTATCCCATTGACTGCTTGATGGTGTGATCAACAAATTTCAATTTTGTCTCACTCTCGCTTATCTTCTCAATACCTAGTTTTTTGAAAATAGACAAAGGCATCAAACTCACACTAGAAACAGGATCCATTAGAACCCCCTTGAAAGTTATGTCTTTTATGGTGCATGGTATTGCAACTGACCTCAGATCCTTCTGCTTGACTGATATTTTTCTCTCTGGCGTAATTGCATATAATTTCTCATTACAGGTTATCGATCCCTCTCATGTTGATCTCTTCTTTGATAATACTTCCGTTATGAATCTCATATGAAAAGGCATTTTCTCGAGTGCTTCAAAAAATGGTATGTTGATCTCTAGCTTTTTGAACAATTGGACAAATTTATCAAACTCTTTTTTTCTTTTGTGTCCTTCTTTGCCACTCGAGATGGATACGATAACTTGATCACTGGTTTAGTCTTCTCTTCAAATGGATTCACAGGTGATACCATTTCTTCTTGTTTTTTCTTGTTCTCTCTCACTTCCAGCTCTACTTCTATGATACTATTATCAAATTTTATCTCATCTTTCTTTTCTTCAGCAGCTTTCTCCTTCCTTGTTATGAAAACATTAACATTCTCATGATTTTTCCGATTATCTTATGGTCGTAGCACTACCTGTTACGCAATCTGTCTCATTTGAACTTCAAAATTTTCTTTGTAGCTGTGGTATTCTTGTAATTACTTCTTGTGTTTTCTTGAAATTGAGAGGTGTGGGCAGCCATCTTTTTAATAGCTACCTCCCACTCTGCCTTTTGAGTAGCTTGTTGCTGCTGATCTTTCCAGGAGAAGTTAGGATGATTCTTCCACCCAGGGTTATAGGTGTTAAAATACGGGTTATTTTGCCTTAAGAATTTTATCCCCTCAATTTGTTATGAAGTTGCAAGATATTTCTCAGTAAGGTGTGGTCCACTATAAATTTCACAAACAACCTTCTGTACCTGTTGAACGTGAGTACTCAAAACCTGAGCTACCTGTTGAGTACCCACGTTCATTGCTTTCAGCTTTTTCTTTACTTCTGCAATAATTTCTTCTTCAATTTTCAGCTACTTATTAATTTCCAACTTCAAATTAATCACTCCCTCTGATTTGCTTACAACTCTGCCATATAGCTCCAGATGCTCATTTGCAACAATGACTTCAAAAATTTCTTCACACCAGTGGTTGTTGTAAAGTTGAATGAGCCACCAGTTGCTGTATCAATAAGTTGCTTTGTCTTCATTCGAAGGCCATTTACAAACATTTTCATATGCTATGTTTGATATATGTTGTCAGTGGGGAAGGCTACTAATAACCTCTTAAACCTCTTATAAGCATCACCTAACGATTCTCCTTCCTTCTGTTTAAAATTCACAATATCATATCTTTTGTGAATGTAAACAGAAGCAGGAAAGTATTCATCAAGAAAAGTCTTCTCCATTTGTTCCCAAGTGGCGATACTTCCTATAGGTAATGAGTAAAACCACTCTTCAACATCTTCAGACAGCATGAACGGGAACATCCTTAATTTCTTAACTTCTTCATAGTGCCCCTAAATCTTCAAAGTAGTACTCATGGTGAGGAGTCTCTCTAAATGCTTATTGGCATATTCATTGATCTTTCTGGTGAAAGATCTGTTCTCGAGCTGGCGGATGGTTGAAGGATGCAATTGAAAATTTGTAACATTGATCAGTTGATTCACAATAGTCAACCGACCTCTTGGAGTATTTGCTCCTCTGTAATCCCCACG